GTGGAGAATGTGACATTGTGGATTGGCAGTGACACAACGATTAGCAGAGGATTGTTGTGTTTTCATCTCCAGAAGTTTTAAGGTGCTATGGTAGCTTGGAGGGGGAATGGGTCATTTTATGTCTTTGTTCCAGGGGCCCGCTATCTTATCCTTAAACACTCATTCTCCTGTATCCAACATATGGAAGGCAAATAAATAAAGTGGACAGAAAGTTAATAATACCAGCTTTTACAATTTGTTTATTATCAAACTTGTAACTTCACTTCACTTGTGACTTCTTTTGGAAGTGCCTCTAAATGCCTTCAGAACGTAGTGCTGGAAAGGAGGGCTAAGATTTGCTTACCAACCCCTCCCTTCCATCTCTCCCCAACACACATAAGCTGTCTAAAGCTACGTTTTCTAGGTTATCTAGCAATGAGTGAACTCCAGTAGCAACACACACACACTTTTGCGACAGAAATGTTGTATCACCTAGAGGGCCCAGTGCTGAGACAGGTTGGGGTAAAGCAACTGTGTTTAAGGAGTGTGGTGGTTCTGAGCCATTCGAACTGTGGTTTTGGAAGCCCTCTACTTCATACAACATTTCAGTCTGAGTACCAGGAAGTGCAGGAGAGGATTCTGGACGTCTCTGAATGGTAGATGATGTGATGGTTTAGAGGTATAGTTTCAGCACAGATTTGAAAACGTAACGTTCCAGATTCCCATTCACAGGGGGGCGTAATGAGCCATGGAAACACTACAAACTATCACAGGCAGTTTGCTCTGTTAACTAGCCTGGCCAACAGGAAAGCAGCATTTTGAGAAAAATAAAGTTCACATGGAGAGCCCTCAGTGCAGATATCAGCAACGCAGCGGGGTTGGAGGCCAAGCCATCAGAGAACTCTGATAACAATAAAAAACATTTTTTTAGTTGGCAGTTTATTTTGACATGCTGAGGGGCACAGTTTCAGGTCTTTCATTTTACATTTTCCAAAGATCAGTCAGTTTTCTGTCCTCCATGAATGCTCTACTCAATATAACAACACTCCAGCCACCCTCATTATCACTAACCATAATTGTCAAGTATAGAGTAAATAGTCACTTGTTGAATAAGAGTTGATGAAAACAATGTACTGCTTTAAAACCCACTCCACAACTGTAATATAACATAAACATTTTGAAACACCATTATTTTGCTGAAATCACCATTTATTTGACTGCTACTTGTCTTCACTTCTTGAAGTCTTCATTTCCTGTACTACAGACTGTAATTTCAGGGCTCCTGCTTGGACATAATCAACTTCATGTTCTATTGCATCGTCTATGATCAGTACATGATGTAAAACCTTATAGTGAGATATTATCAGTAAGATGTCAACTCATATCCTCAGATTTTGAAAGGAGTTATCAAACATTTTACACTGAGGTTGGAAGAGAACTTCCACGGAACATTTTCAACAGTGCAGAGATTTTTGTAGATATGATCTTTTAGACACACATGTTGATCAGGAATCAAAATGGCAACCTCTGTTGATAAACAAAAGGACAGTGATTGTCTATGTGGTGCAGTATTCCTGCCAACCATGACAAAAAGCCCTTTCACATATAAAACACTTGTTTTAATGGTAATTTCTGTGATACCTGGGTTCAGCAGAAAATGTTCTGAAAATATTAAAATGACATTTACTCATTTTATCTTTCTCTTAATCCACAATATGTTTTCAAAGTTGTCTGTGCTCTATGCCTTTCCGGTCATGGTCAGACTGAACAGAAAAACACACACACAGTGTTTCCAACAGGATTATATTTGATCCATGATTTTAATTCATTATAAAACTGAGGTGTGTTGCCATAGTCTAATCCAACAGTAGCACTTACAGGCCAATCTTAAGTGTCTTTACAGCTCAAACCATGCAGCTAAGCTGACCTGCAATGATGTGTCTGTGCAACCCATACGTGCTTTAGCAGGTGCAAGTGGAAAGGGGTCGCTCTGAATGCCGCTATGGCATTTGAATATACTGTTAAGTAATGGTTTGACTGAGTTTACTGAACACGTTTTCTACTCTGTTAATGTGGAAGCTGATATGTGCCTGACGACCTACAACATAAATTCATCGTGAAACAACGAGCTCAAAGCTACGACAACCTCTGTTTGTGCAAGTTCTACAAACTACATCCTGGGCATTTTCTCATTCTGAGGAGACATGCATTGAAGTTTACATCTATGTTTTGGAGAACATCTTCAAAACCAATTTTTGGAAACTCTCAGTTCCAAAACCTGGAAAAACAGCTGTGGGTAGCATTATCACAACTACCAGTTGACATCAGATGCCTAACCAGAGAGTAGAAGTTCCAGCCATCATATAGGTGTTACATTATAATTAGATGCTCAATACTTTTTGATAAATTCAAAAAAAGATACAAATAAATTTGAAACCGACCTTGATGGGAAGTTTCCCATCCCTGTGTGAAACAATGGTACTGTTCTGCTCTGGCTCGATGAGGCAGACTTGCCCTTGCCTCCTTTCTTTGGGGTTCAAAAGATCTGAGAGTGTGTCGTCTTTTAAGTTGCTCAGTTTGGAGAGACAGCAGAACACTCCCTCCACTTAATTAGTCCTTTGCAACCATGCTCTGCTCATACAGCCCTTCATCTTCAGCTTCCCCTTTTGAAGGATGTACACTTATATTGGGTGTTCCCGATTGATTCTCACAGACCAGCTGAGCTGGTAAAGCATTGAAGGGAGGTGCATGTCACAGCAAACAGACACTTTAAATAAGGGAGGGTTTGTGCACGACTGATGATCAATGAAGGATGATAACTGATTGAGTCAGAAGAAGTGAGATGGAGGCTTGGTGTAGCTTGGTGTCTAGCTTTAAGGTGGCTCTCCCAGTGATTGCAGTTTGTTTAAAAGGGAACGTTCAGATCTTGTGGGTGACTGGCCCATAGCCTGGGAGATTTTGAAACTCCTAGAAATTAAATGGAACAAGAGAGTGAAGGGTTTACTCATTCTCTTTTGATTTGAGATGAAATTGTCATGTGTTTAAAAAGGTCTTTAATGACCTTTTTGAACTTCATAAATGAAAATATTTCAAGACAAATAGAACCCCAGGAGGGGATCAGGTGACTTGACATCATCTTACGAACCAATCACATTTTGATAGAAGTCCTGACGCCACTTGAAAAGAAATTCATCTCAGATTAGATCAGGCAGACAATGACTGTGTGTTATAACTGTCAGTCACCCATCTGCCCCGAAAATCTCTCTGTAAGAATATATGTAAAATCTTTTCTTTCACATTTTATTAGTCTTCCCTCTATTTCGAGGTCGAATCAACAAAAGTAATTTTACACTGTCAGTATGAAAGCAATGGGTAAGACAGTTGGGGATTTGATGGGAAATACAAAATGGTATAATGTTTCATAGTTCAATAGCCGACAGTTCGAGCTCTCTCAGATAAACAACACAGAACAACATTAATTTAGTTTGATTCCAAATTACCTTGATAATTACTTTTGAAAATGAAATAGTTTTCAGGCAGCTTTTCATTGTTAGAATGTCACAGATTCAAATCAAGAGACACCAAACAAATTTTTTTCATTCAAAAAATGTTTGTGCTGCAGGTATATTTATTTTGCCCCTCGACATATCAACATGGCCAGACATTGATGGAAATTATAGGATCAATTAATAGGATGGTTCAGACTTAGCAGCTTTCTTTGTATATAGGAGATTATGTGAAACAAAATTAATGAAATGACCTTGTAAAAACAGCATTCATATTCCAGCCGCTACATTAAATGTCTCTATAACTCTTGTAATAGTGAGAAATGTATGTATGCTTATATAGACTGTAGGGTGTTACAGTTGCTGTGCCTATAAACATGCAGGATTTAGTCCACTTTGAAGTTTTCATGTTTTATTGATTTACAAAATTGAATCAAAGCAGATTTGATGTATCTTTTGGACACAGATTGGCAGAAAACAAGCCTTTAATGTCAAAATGAAAACAGATCTCAAAGTAAATCCATTAGACAGAAAATGCATGTTTGCGTCAGTATGTGCCATCATTTGCCTTCTCCAAAAGTCAGTATTTAAATGGGCCATTGGCAACAAGCAAAGCATCATGAATGGGTCTTTATTACCTTAGCCAAAGAGGTTATGTTTTTAGCCCTCTCCATTGGTTTGTTTGTTATTGGCTTGATTACACGATAACCGCAGTACAGATTTCCATGATACTTGGATGGACATTGGCCAAGAAAGAACCCATTAAAGTTTGGTGCTGATCAGGATAAAGGGGCGGACCCAGGGATTCATTCATGAATCTTGATGAAAAAAATCTGGTATATTTGGTGTTTATCAGTGTGTGCAGTTTGATGCATATCCAAACAAAAATCTGGATTTAGTAGATTTAAATGTGGTTTCATGATGGGACTGTTTGGCCTTGAAGGAGGGATGCTTTGTATAATTTGTATTCTACTGTTTGGCACTTTGAAACGTGCTTTTCAATACAGTTTACCATTAACTTTGCACATGTAGACACTCTATTGCCCCCATTGTTCTGTCTGTTGATCCATTATTTATCCGTTTCTTCATGACTGATTTAACTGCACCATCCTTCATTCATATTTGAATGTTTATTATATTGAGTTGATAATGCAGCACAGACAGTCACATGATGAGTGTGATCACAGTTGATAGCGTGCAGTTTCTGCAGGTGTCAGTATGACTGTAGCCGGTGGGAGGGACTTGATGCCCCAACTTCTCATTCTGTGTCTCTCGGCTCTCCAGCCAGTCGTCCTGGTCCTGCTCGGGGAGAGAGACGTCGACATCAGCAGCGCGTTATTCCGGGAAACACCATGCATCTTAGGCTGAAAAGACGACCGGAGCCTCGCCTTATTATTTCGCCCCGTTCTTCTTGATTTCCGTTTCTTTTTTTTCTGTTGCGTCTTTTTTTTTTTTTTTTCCCCCCCCCCCCCCCTCTCCTTTTCACCCAATCTCTGACGCGCAAGGACACTACAGCATCCATCCACGGAAAGGCTCACATAGAGCATCCTCTGTACAGACGCACCACCATCCTCCTCCTTCCTTCCTTCCTTCCTTCCTCCCACTCTCCTCCTCTCCTCTCTCTTGTTCTGTTCGAACGCAGAGGACATCGGGACCTCGTCTTCTCCCACCCCCCAATTTACCCGGAGACATGGATCTATGGTTTCACTCGATCCGGATTTGCTGGTGGAGGGTTTTGTTCCTGATGAGTGTTTTCCAGGACTATCTGAGCTCCATGCTGGACTGCCCGCCGACCTGCAGCTGCTCTCAAACAGAGATCTATTGCAATAAGTCCGACAGCGGCAGGTTTTTCCCTTTACTCGCCCTGCAGGACACTGGGAACAATGGGACCAGTGTTGACATAGCAGAGTTATTCAAAAACATCTCCTCTATGTAAGTAGATGCGGATTCTGCCGTGCGTTTTGAATCATTAATTGATCACATATGAGGCGTCTATGCGCTCTGGGTGTCTGTTGCTGTTTTTTCTGCACTGCTCTGACTTGTTGGCTTCTTATTTTCTATTCTGAGACTTTCTGCGCTTCCATCAGTGTGTCCAGTGTTATTTGTGATAAATCCACGTTTAGTAAGGCTGGTCGTGTGTGTGTGAGGGTCAATGCGCTCCTGCTGCCTCCTCTGCACGATGAGAAAAAATCCTTTGCAACCTTGTTGGACGTGGCAACTTGATCTTCAGCCTTGCCGGTGGTGAATGTCGGGTTTCTTCATCCTTATTTGTGCGTGTGCGTGCGTGCGTGCGTGTGCGTCCATAAAGTTGCTCCTCCGCAGCGGCACCGCAGGCCTGAAGCTAAATGACAGAAGGACGTTGCGGAGAACCTCAGATCACCCGTTCACTTTCATTCGCGTCCCCGCGCACAGCAACCGCTCCGACAGATTGTGCCAAATGAAACAGAAATAAATGGCGCAGTAAGGTCAACCAGATACTTCTCAGCCCCGCATCCTCCGGGACCGAGGCGACCCGACAAACTTTAATATGCCCAGATGATGCGGTGGCATGGGGGGTGGAGAGGAGGGGAGGGGGCGCTGGAAACGTCACTTGTGGCGCTTCATGCTTTATTTTTTTGTCCTACACAGACGAACACGTAGCCAGGGCGCTCGGCTCTCTGGGCATTCATGAAGTGTTTCCTTTAAAACAGAGGAGCTGTGATGACGGCACGCTCTCCAAACCCCCCACCATCACCACCACCACCCACATCCCCCC